GAGGACGTATTGTGGGGAGTCCAGGAGGATCCGTCTCACCTTCTCAAGCCTTTGCTTCTTTCCTTCTATATGCTTTTTTTTTATAGTTTATTGATTTCAGAGAGAAGGGAGAGGGAGAGAGAGATAGAAACATCAATAATGAAAGTGAATCATCAGTCAGCTGCCTCCTGCATGCCCCCTACTGGGGATCAAGCCCGCAACCCTGGCATGTACACTGACTGGGAATTGAACAGTGACCTCCTGGTTCATAGGTCAACACTCAACCACTGAGCCCCACTAGCCTGGCCCTTATATATGCTTTAAAAAAAATATCCATCATCTCTACAGTCACAAAGAACCACAGCTGAATCTTATCTTTTCTTCCAGTATTTTTTTCTTAAATATATTGGGTTCACATTGTTTATAAGATTGTACAATGCTATAATACATCACCTGTATATATCATTGTGTGCTCATCATTCAAAGTTTAGTCTCCTATCATCATGTATGTGATTCCCTTTATCCTCTTCAATCTCCTCCAACTTTCCCTCTGGTAACCACTATACTATGTTAATGAGTATATTTGTTCTTGGTTATTTGTTTTGTTCATCCATTTGTTGCTTTCTATTTTATATCCAACATATGAGGGAAATCATATGATTCTTGTCCTTTTCTGTCTGACTCACATGATACTCTCAAGATCCACCCATGTTGTTGTGAATGGTAGTATTTCATCTTTTCCTATGGCTGAGCAGTATTCCATTATATGTATGTACCACATCTTCTGTATCCAGTCGTTCACTGTAGGACACTTGGGTTGATTTCCTGCCTTGGCTACTGTGAATAATACCGCAGTGAACAGAGGGGTACATATATCTTCATGAATAAATATTTTCAAAATTTTTGAAAATGGATACCCAGAAGAGGGATTGCTGGGTCATATGGTAGGTCTATTCTTAAGTTTTTGAGGAACCTTTATCCTTCCAGTATTTTAAATGCATAAAGGACAGAAATTTTTAAATTTTGTAATCACAAGCGTTTAGTGATTATTTTAAATAAATTAACCTCCTTAAGATGTATAAAATCACAAATCTTATTTTACAACAGAACATACTTTATCTATGAAAGAAAGTATGTATTACATGTGATTTTAAATTATATCTTCAAAATGGAACAAATACTTTGTTAAATATTGTTTGACTTTTCAGTGATACTGTATCATGTTCCAGACTACTAAATTGTTTAGTGCAAAATTTAGATGCAATTCCATGGACAGGTTAATGATGAAATGTTCTTTTTGTTTCTAAGGTATTTTCTGCCAGTAGATGTATCAGAATATCAAAAAGAAATGAAACTAGGAAAAGATTAAAATGAATCCTTTAATCTTGTGGACTATTCTAAAAAGAATATTGTAGACTTATGCCTGAAACAGCAAGCAGTGAAACTATGAGCTTAATTACATGGGTAGAGTAGAGAGGAAATTTGTATGTAAATGCTTTTCTAAAACAATGTGTCAGAGATATGATAAAGGTGGCACTTCTTACTGGGACAATTTATTTTTCTGAAGTTAGTAATATATTTATATGTTTCAAAATGAATGTAAGTGGTGGCTTTACTCACAAAGGTTATCTACTGGCAGAGAAAGCAAATTAATTACAATAGCTATAGTCAAATGCTATTTGAAGTGATTGGGAGAAAGGGAAGTTGTAGTCTCTCCTTTCTAATTAAGGATTTGAATATAAATTTCTTCCCCCACACTCCCAATTTATTTTTCAGTTTAAAACAATCAATTCTGAATAACTTGATATCAGCATAGGCTCCACAAAAAGACAAACCCAGATAGGAATCACGTTCATGCCATCACCAACACTGTACCATGGCAGTAAAATGTAATTGTCTGCAAAACGACTATCAGTGCTTCATAATTGGTCTGAGTTAAGTGTGAGCAAATAAGTGAAGTGACCAGAGTGATAAGGCAAAATTGTTTTTGATGTATGTCATTACACTTAAAGTTGCAGACCCTATCAGCATTAAGTGAGGGCTTACTCTATGTGGTCCTAAGAGGAAAGAGCCCAATTTTTAAATAGGAAAACATGAAATCATATTCATCTTAGTTACCTTTTAACAAATTCTTATGCACAGCAACTGTGACTCACCTATTAATAGCTAAAACTCTCAGATGTGTCTTGTGTTCCAATTTACACATACATCCATATCTGTCATCTATATGGTTACTCCTCCCACTAACTCTGGGCATGGCTGTCCTCTTTCCTCAGTGGGAAGCTGAAGTTCAAAGACATGAAGTAATTTACCACGGTCACACAGCTGATCCACTGCTAGGACTCAACTCCAAGCCCCCTGACGACTAGTCCAGTGCTCTTCTCAGTGCTCTAAGGATGCCTGTTTCATCCACAGGTTCAAGAAAAACCATCTCATTTAGGCTGTGATTTGTTATCCCAGCAATTGACAATTAAGATTTATACTGTATACAAAAGGAAAAAAAGTTACTCTTTGAATAGATACAGCATGCAGATTTTTTAAATATATCAGCCACTCCTTTTTACAGCAAGCAGCATTTTAAGATATGATTAGTGTTCTGAGCATAGGGTGATGGTAGACATAATGTTTTTGCATTATCACGAGATGACAAAATTACCTACTCTCAAAGGACCAGCTGCTACAGGGAGGCAGGAACCCGTGGTGCCTACATTCTCAAAACTATTTTAATTGGTAATTTTTTGTGAACTATTTTTTTAGTCAGTCAGAGTGGAAATGTATGTGTAAACCTGTTAAAGCCATAGCATCTGTTAGAATGAAATAACATCACTAAATCTTAGTGAAACGTTCCATTTCAGGATTCTGAGGCCACTTAGGGTTCTCATTGAGATAAGAGTTCTAAAAACTCAGATCCTCAAATAGGTATAGAAAAGTTATGGACAAAAATGATAGGAAAATTCTTTCCATTCTTTTTGCATAATACTCCTGTTACCATGTTATAATTTTTTTAAAGAATAGTGTATTGATTATTAGAGAAAAAGGGAGAGGGGGAGAAACATCAATGTGAGAGCACAGCATCAATTGGCTGCCTCCTGCATACCCCCCACCGGGGGTGGAGCCAACAACCCAGGCATGTGCCCTGTCTGGGAATCAAACCAGCAACCACAGTTTGCCCAACAAGTGAGCCACAGTAGCCGGAGCCCATGTTATAATTATGAATTGATGTACACAATATACATATATCTGCTCATCACATTAGATGTACAGCAAGTCTTTAAACAATGTTGTTCATTTAATGTCATTTCATTATAATAATGAGATGCTATGGGAACTTAACTTTTGTTTGTATCAATTAGCCTATGGTAAAATTGTGTGGTTTTTTTATGTCATTTCACTTAAAGTTGAAGAACTTATCAACAACATTAAGTGAGGACTCACTGTATGTGGTCTTAAGAGGAAAGAGACCAAATTCTGAAATAGGAAGACTTGAGATCATATCTAATCTCTACTCAAATTCCTGAAGGTTTTATACAGAAAACCTAACCAGTTGGAACTTCTATTTCTTCATATCGATAATAAATTTTATGGAAAAGTCAAGTTATTTTTTTCCCTTGAGAAAATGGCAGAAAAGAAAGTTTAATGTAGACTTTATCATAATTCTTAGCTTTCAAAGTAAGTATCTAGGGCAAGAATTGTCTGAGATTCTTTTTGAATTTTGTAAAATTTGAACTTCAACACCGATAATATTATGAGATGAATTTGAAAAACCAATAAACAAACAAATAAACAAAAAATAGAAGGTAATTTGCCAGAATACTAATATACTAATAGGTTTATTGTGTGTGTGTGTGTGTGTGTGTGTGTTTTCTTTCTACATAGTTTTATTTTTCAGATTTTCTAAAAAATCAAGAAAAAATAATTTATAAAGTCACATTTGTTATGTCTCTATGTTATCAGAGAATTGCATGGGTGGAACTTCTCTGATGCTAGTGGGAGTGGGGTTCTTACAATATCTTGAGAAAAAGAATTATCTAAGACTCGCACAGGAGAATGAGTTATTTTTATTCGCATGAAATTATATCCCTTGGTTTCCCAAGTCCCCTTTCCCTTAAACCAGTCCTGGAAAAAGGTGCAGCTGGGGTTTCAACGGAGCTGGAAGCCAGTGTCCAGAGTTTCCGTTCCGTGGTGGAGCTGAATCTGGCAGAGCTTGAGGCTAATTGTAATCCATTGATCCATTGTGTGGGGGGTCCACATGGCTGTGGGCCACATGAGCAAATGCTTTGGAGCACACCCCCTACAGTCAGAGATCCGGGACCAGAAGGGGGCCAGGTGGGTCAAGAGAGCAAACTTCCTTTGTTTTGGAGTTTAAATATCCAATCTTCCCATGCTTACAGTAGCCGGGCCTATTGTGGCCAATGGTTTGTTTCCAGATGTGATTGACATGCAAGCACCATCCCACTTCACCCAGACCATACTGGGCATGTGTCTACTGTGCAGTCTCTTCCCCCAGCGATCTGCAAGGAACAGACCTGGAGAGTGTTAAACTGCAGCCTTCTGGCAAAGTTGTACAAATGGCTTTCCCATATCATCTAACCTTCCCTGTACTCCTTTCCTGTTATTAATTAATAACTGGGTTAATTTCAAAGGTATCCTATAGAGTCCATAGTAGTAAGTCTGTAACCCTCAGTCCAACCAATTAAAGCCAATTAAAATTATGATGGAACTGGCAGAGACCTTAAAACATGTCCTTCTAACTACACCACGCCTGATGCAGAACTAGTCAGAGTGGACTGGAGTTTAGGATGGCACTTGACTAGCCAATGTGGGGAAGCTAGGGAAGCTCAGGAGTTTAAGGTGTGTGTTTTTTTAAATTTTCTTTATTTGAAATATTCTTTCCAAATTTAAGCATTTTAAAATTGCTGACATTCTTTGCTCCCCCACTTCATAAGGTTAGAAGGTCATAACGATATTCTTTGAGAATTCTCCTAGACACTTCTGACCTTTGCATTTTTCCTTTCTTTCAGGGTCAATGATTGTATCTTGCGGGTGAACGAGGTGGATGTGTCAGAGGTTTCCCACAGTAAAGCGGTGGAGGCCCTCAAAGAGGCAGGGTCTATTGTTCGGCTGTACGTGCGTAGGAGGCGACCCATTCTGGAGACTGTTGTGGAAATCAAACTGTTCAAGGGACCTAAAGGTAATAAAACCATAAATGACTCACAGTAGGACACCAGTGACAAACCATTTTGTTAAAGTTTATGCTATAACCCATCTATGATGTACGCTCTTCTTTTATCCTCCAATATTCAGTGTATAACAAGAGATCTGGAATCCTGCAATAGTGGTTATTATAAGTGGTTATCAAAACTCTAAATCTGAACGCAGACAAGGAAAGAATACATTTATGTAGGAATGTCCTTATAAATAATAATAACATAACAACAAACATTTATATATTTTTCTATAAATTTTACATCCTAGTGGATCATCATGACTTGACTGGCATATTAATACTACCTAATTTTTCAGATATAAATGGTTAATCCTCTCATTTGGAAAAATAGTAGCAATGATAATAATAATCATTGAAATAATCTATCCTGAAATAACAATTATATTTTTATAACACTTATGGATTTGTTTTGATTTTGTAATACACAATCTGTAATCTGTTATACCCAAATACTAAATAACATTTTATATTTGCAATAGTCAAAATAAGTTAAAATGTATTTTTTAAATGTTCAAAAAAATTACCTCTCTTGAGGTAATTGCAGTTACCCTGGGAAAATCACATAAACAGTGAGATGAATAATTGTTTTAATTTTTAGGAATAGTCCTTAGAGCTCTGCTTCTCAGAATGATGACATTCAATATTAGTTTAACAGTATTTTACATATTTTTAAAAAATCTAATAACTGGCTTAAGTGTTTTAAATATTTTAGAAGAGTATGAGTTGATAGTTACTATAATATTTTAGTAAATCACTTCTCTTTCCTTTAAAATCTATTTTATCTCTAATGCAATATGCTATTGAAAATAATAGCTATACGATCTTCTCTGGAAGGCTGAAGTGGATGGGATTTAAGATATCAGAAGAGCCAAACAGAACTAAATTTAAAAGCCTAGTTCTTTCATGTACTAGCAGATTGACATTGATTGGACCAATCTCCTCATTATCAAATAGATATCATATTGGTAGAGCTATACCATGGAGTATATGAGAATTAAGTGGTTAACTAATATCTGACATGTGATGAGCACTAGAGCTTGCTGGTTAAAAGTGCAGACTCCAGAGCCAAAAACTAGGTATGAACCCAATGCCTTGTTAAAATAAAAATTAAAAACCAAAGTAAGAGGGAATAAGTGTTCATTTTAGATCAAAAAGTATTGTACTTCTAGAAGCACTGATTCAGACAGAAACCCAAATAGCGTTACAATTATGAGGTGAAGGCAGGGGGTATTTATGAGAAAGTAAAGGGAAATAATTATATAAATAGAAGGAAGGAATTTCTATCGGTGCTAATTATTTAGGGATGAAATTTCTATACATACAAATAAGCTGGTTTATTTTCTAACTATTCAGGGTGGTGCTAATTCTAAAGAATGGCCTAATTTGCAGTCTTCTTAGTCAAAATGTCTGCTTTGTTTATTAGCTTTACAAACAGTTGTTTGGAATATAAGGCTGGGTTGGCCCAATCCCCAGGTTATTTTTCCCGTTTCAAACATTTCAACGGTTTGAGGTGTTAAGACCAGCAAGGCAGTTCCTCTGGGATGGTGGCTTTGACTCCATTTTGAAATGACTCCATTTAAATCATTTTTCACATTCTGCAGCTTACTAGTTCTTTGACCTTGGGCAAATTGCTTAAAATGTCTGAGCTCTAATTTTCTCTCCTACAAAATGTGAATAGTAATAGTGTTTGCCCCTAGAGATGTTCTGAGGATTAGATGAGTCAATTCACATAGTGGCACAAAATGACTTCTCAATAAATATTAGCTACATTTACACGTTATTTGTAGTATTCATTGCTACATATTTTTTTGGCCTTCATAACAATTATTTGGCAATGTGAAGAAAATACTCAAAAATTCTTCATGGGCTAAATTAAAATGCATTAGAACCCCAGAATTAAATCTGAAAATGAAAACGAAATAAAAGAAGTCAAGCATTTCCATACCACAGTGTCTGATGGTATGAAAGAAAGGACTTCCTGTCCTACAAGTTTACTAAGTCATATTTGCAAGGAACTCTAAAGCAGAACAAAATGAGCATTTCACTATTTCTATTAAAAAAGATATGCTATCTATATAAATAAAAGGCTAATATGCTAAGTGTCCCTCCAATCGTTTGACCAGTTGCTATGATGCACACTGACCACCAGGGGGCAGACACTAAACGCAGGAGCTGCTGTGACACACACTGGCCATTCACAAAGAAATGGCACTGACAAAGCAACACTCGGCTTCCCCCAAGTAGGACACAGGCCCCACCACCAGCCCTGAGGGACAGCCCACCAAATCACAGCCAAAGCTGCTGAGACCCCATGGTGCAAAATGCAGCCCACAGCTCAGCCCAGCCCAGAAATGATTTCTGTGGGTGCCAGGTAATGACGTCGCATAGCAATGCCCAGCTTCCTCTCCCTAGCGACTAGCCTCCTTGGATATTTTTCAGCCCAAGAACATGACTTGCTTTATAGCCAAGTGCAATCATTTTACACTTTAACCAAATATCTGTGAAGTGTTTTCCCATGCCTCATCTCATTTGATCCTCACAGAAGTCCTGGAGTAGGTAGATAGGAGACTCAAAGAATCCTATTTTCTTTTCATTAACAAGAAAACGGAAATTTAGAAAGTTTAGAAACAGCACAACTAAAAAGAAGTAAGAAGTGGTGGACCTTGAAAATGACTTCAGGTTTTCTCACTGCACATAATATAGTCAAACACTGCTGCAGTTAAATATTTTACCCTTTTTCCTCCCTGCATGATCTACAATAATAATCTGCTTTTTGTTGATATTTACTGCTGTGTTGCTGACAATTACCTGAAAGAGAAGTTGGGGTGCTTCACTGGGCTGGAAAAAGTTTAGCTACAGCAGAAAGCAGGTCTAATTAAGCAAGTTTATTCTGTATGTATAAAAGACTAAGTTGACTCGCATGTGCACGATACATAGAAAGCTCTCGCTGGTGCCAATCACACGCATGTGTTTTGATCTGTCATTGTTGATCGTGAATATGGTTGACATTTCTATTCTAGAGAAAGGGCAAATAACGATATTAAAATATTTCTTCTAATTAATTTCCTTTCAATGTGCACAAATCCATGCACTGGGCCACTAGTATATAATAATGCGTAGCTATTTCTACAGTTCAATTACCAGCAATTATTCAGCACAGCCCTAAGGCAAATACTAGTTTTAAGCTCCCAGCAAAGCATTAGCATTCATTAGCAGGCCTCCAGCTAGCTGAGTCACTTGCTGACCTCCAGCTGCTCAGCAAAGCTCTTAGAGGCTAGAGAACCCATAGACAGAACTCTTTAATTTTAAAAGGAACACTTTTTTTTTTAATCTTTATCTTTGATACCAGGGCCCCCTCTGGCTGGTTTACTTGGCTCTGAACTGTTTTCTCCTTTGATCCTGGAGTGGAGTAGGAATTTCCCTGGGACATGGAAGCACAGATGAACTTGAATCAACCAGAAATACCCAGGCAATAACCCAATGGCAGTACCCAGCATAGGGGCCATGGGGTTATACCTGGGCTTGGTTTACTGAGACAAGGAGAACAAGAACACTGTGAGAACTAAATGTATATTCCTGAAAGCAGACTCCTGCCAAATCCCTGCAGAGTGGGGTAGTTCTGTTGGTCCTATTGGGATTGTGCTGGGCCAGTTATGCTTTTTTGTACTGTCACCATACAAAGGTCACGGATGGGGATATGTTTCTCTATATAAAGCTTATTGATGTATTGGGAAAGTAGCTGTTTTGGTCCTAGTTTAAATTCCTAATACCTATTACAGTGTCTTAAATGCAGGAAGTGCTGAATCAGAGTAAATTGAATAATTAAATTGGATGCTATCCTAAACCTGGTGATCCTTACAATCTTACCTTCACTTAGCACCTTTAATTCTTTATTTTTGAATGATGATATATTTAAAAGGAATTTTTACAAAGAGAGTGTATGGAGGACATCTCTAATAATGTAAACATTATAAATAACTTTTTTAAAAAAAGACATTTTTACCAATGTTTAACTCATATTATGGAGGCTCTTCTGCACTGTAGGGGATGAAAATGTATCAGATGTGATTCTGATGGGAGAATCAGAAATTTCTAATGGGAAAGAGAGACATAAAGTCAACTCACTTTAATGCAAACAGAATGAAATCAGCTGTGTGATAAAGTTTACTATTATTCCAGTGAGGCAAAAAGGAAGATGTGGTTCACCTTAACCAGGAGAGACAAAATCCTCCAGAGAATTTAAACTTAATGCACCCACAGGTCCTTATCTGCCTTTATTGAGTGCAAGCCACCTGGGTGTTGTAGGCCAAGGTCAGCCACCACCTGTGCCCTTCCCCTGGGTTACCCAGTATGACCTACAAAGCACTCTGTAGAAGGCTGCTACTTGTGCTGGATTTTGAGGTGCCCAGGGATAGACCAAGCTGTGAACCAAGGCTTGGGGTCTCTTGCCAAGAAGCATGGGCATGCCAAAGTCAGATGCTGTTTGTTTGAGAGATTTTAGTTAAGTCTGTAGCATGAGCCAAGACAGGCCATTTTTATGCAAGAGCCACTGGAACTGGCTGAGTGACCTGACAAGTTGGGTGGTGTGGGGTCTCAGGTAATTACCAGGCCTAGGCTAACAGTGTCTATGGAGACTCAGATATGGTGCCCACCTGCCAGCTCTGTTGAGGGAGGGCTCAGCAAAGGAATAATGGCCTCTGCTAACATGTCTGTCTAGGACAGCGGTTCTCAACCTGTGGGTTTCGACCCCTTTGGGGGTCGAACGACCCTTTCACAGGGGTTGCCTAAGACAATCAAAAAACACATATATAATTACATATTATTTTTGTGATTAATCACTATGCTTTAATTATGTTCAATTTGTAACAATGAAAATACATCCTGCATATCAGATATTTACATTATGATTCATAACAGTAGCAAAATTACGGTTATGAAGTAGCAACGTAAATTATTTTATGGTT